TTAAAAAAAAATAAAATAAAAAAAAAACGAAAAGAAAAGGAAGAAGTGGGTTTATGTCGCGGGTTGACAATTTAACTGTCGCGCCGGGTCCACCGGATGTCATGAAGGCGGTGCTTAAGTCTGGGCGCAACAAGGAGCACAATGTCATTGTGCCTTCCTCCGCACTGACCATTGGAGAAATTCAGGAGAAAATCCCGGTAAAGTACTTTGAACGCAACACTACCCGGAGCGTCATGTTTCTTTTACGCGACCTCGCACAGGTGGCGTTGACGTACGCCATTATGTACGCCGTCGCCTTGCCACTTGCCACTTCCATGGAAGTTTCTGCAGCAAGAACGTTGGCCGACGGTGGGGTGTTATCATTGATGGCAGGTACAGCCATGACGACAGCGGCGTGGCTTTTAAAGGCAGTGTTGTGGGCGGTGTTTTGGTTTGTACAGGGACTTAACGGCACTGCGCTTTGGGTCCTGGCTCACGAATGCGGCCATCAGGCGTTCAGCCCCATGAAAGGTTTGAATGACGCCGTTGGCATGATTTTGCACTCTGCGCTGCTCGTGCCGTACCACAGCTGGCGCATCACCCACGGCGGCCACCACAAACACACGAATCACCTCACGAAGGATCTTGTGTTTGTTCCAGACAAACGAAACGCGGTTGTGGAGCTCGTGGAGGAGGCGCCGCTGGTGTTATTAATTCAATTATTGCTGATTTTTCTCTTTGGTTGGCCGGCACATCTTCTTTTTAATGCCTCTGGACAGGAATTTGGCCGACTCGCGAGCCACTTTGACCCCGGCGCTCCATTTTTCCGCAGCGAAGACCGTCACGATATTGTCCTGTCGAATGTTGGGATTGTCAGCGCGTTATTTGTCATTTTCTCCAGCGTTTACCGCTTTGGTTTTACAAATGTTTTCTGCTGGTACATTGTACCGTACCTCTGGGTGAACTTTTGGCTTGTGTACATTACATACCTGCAGCACACGGATATACGCATTCCTCACTACACACATGAGCACTGGACGTTTGTTCGCGGTGCATTGGCGGCTGTGGACAGGGACTACGGCTTTGTCCTTAACACATGGCTCCATCACATCAATGATTCCCACGTGGTACATCACCTCTTTAGCAAAATGCCACACTACAACGCAATCCAGGTGACAAGAAAGTACATTCGTGAGATACTGGGTGCCACATACATTACGGATGAGAGGTCACTGTGGAAGATGCTCTGGGAACAGCGTAGAGAGTGCCGCTATGTTGTTCCCGCAGAGGGCGTCTGTGTCTTTCATGGGTAACTGTCAAATAATCATATGGTTCTTATTAACATTTATTTAAGGAGAGGAAGAAGAAAACCCCATCAAGTGGAATAATATTACGAGTCCAAGAATGATAAGAATAGTGAGAGAGAGAGAGAGAGAGAGAGAGAGCGTGTCTGTGCGTATGTATGTATATATATGTATATATCTGTCTGTGTCTGTGTGTGTGCTGAATGCCTGCAAGAGTGGAGGAGGAGGAGGAGAAGAAGAGGAGGGGAAAAACAAACAAAAAAAAAGATGTGCAAGAGGTGAAAAACAAAAAACAACAACATGAAACTACACACACAAAAACACACAACAACAACAACATAAAAACAGCAAAAACAAAAAGTGTCCTATTGATTTTCCAGGGACAAATACTTGGAAGGAATAACATGACATATATACATATATATTATAGGTGTGTGTGTGTGTGTTTGTCGGGGAAAATACATGCGGCTGACTCAATTCTCGTCCTTTTTTTTTGGGGGTGGGTGGGTGGGTGGGTGGGTGGGAAATGAAAAGGGCGGAGGAGGAATTTTCCCATCTTGTGCGATCAAACAACAACAACAACAACAAAAATAAAGAAAAGGATGGGCAATTTTTTCTTTTTTTCCTTTTTTTTTTTCTTTTTATAGTTTTTTTTTTTTTTTTAATAGTTTTCTTCTTTATTATAATGATTATTAGGACTATCATTTCTTTTTTTTTTTTTTTCTTTTTTTGCTTTTATTTTTTTATATAATAAATAAATAAATAATATTTTGCTGCTGCCTGTTTGGTCCAGTGAGAGTGGGAAGAGGAGGTGGTGGCGGTGGGGAAAGGGGCCATCGGGGTCTGAGTGAAAACGATCCTTTAATGTACGTCACTGCGGTGTAGTGTAATGTGTGTGTGTGTGTGTCTGCATGTGTGTGTCGGTGGGTCTATTTGCCTCCAGTGAAACGAGGGAAGAGTGGACTTCCGTTTTCTTTCTTTCTTTCCTTCTTTCCTTCTTCTTCTTCCTCTTTACATGTCCTTTTCATTCTCACCTCTTCCCTAGAAACACACACACACACGGACACGGACACGGACACACACGGCGTTGGGCGAAGGCCACAAGGAAGGCTTACAGTGAGGGGTGAGAGCGGAAAGTTGTTATTATTTGTTTCTGTACTTCTCTCTCTCTCTCTCTCTCTATTTGTGTGTGTGTGGGTGTTCATGTTTGCTGCCACGCCAGGACTGCGAGTGTGGGACGCAGTGAAAAGTCGCGGGCGGTCCTTGTGCCGCAGCCGGTCGGATATCGTCATGGTGACTTCTACCGCGCTGTGTGTTAGTACGTACTGCATGATGGCCAATTGGATCTACGGCGGTTACGTGGACCTTTGGTACGGCGTCTACGGCCTTGACGACGATGATGACGATGAGGACGCTGCATAAGAAACGTTTTGGCTGCTGTTTTTTTTTTTTTTTTTTTTTTTCTCTTTGCCCACTTTCTCCCTCTCTGTTTGTTTATGTGTATGTTTGCACTGTAGGCGTCTGATGTTTATTTGGTTTGATTTGATTTTTTTCCCCCGCCCATCCACCCTTTCTTTTTTGGAAGGGATGACACCATCCATGTCGTCTTGTCACGGCCAGTGATGTGCTCGCAGCTGCTGTTGCCTCCTCCCTCTTAACTCATTAATTAATTATTATTATTTTTTTTTTATTATTTGCACCCTTTTTTTCTTTTTTTTTCCTTTTGAATGAACAAAAGCCAAACAAAATTATCTTCTCACGGTGTATTTTGCTGCGCATTTTGCCGTGTGGCACAGTTTGGTTTAGTTTAGTTTTTTTTTTCTTTTTTTCTTTTGCTGCTGCTGCTGCTGCCGTTTTCCCCGAATGGATGCATCGTCGGTGGGCAGTTCATGCGAGTTGGCGGAGGACGTGCGAGGCGTGAGGCGGCAGCGCGTCTCACTGAGCTCCGTGGACTCCGAGCCGATAATCAGACGGCACCGGCCTGACGCGTCGCCGCGCTACGATGATGCCGCCGCCGCTGATGATGATGATGATGCCGATGACGATGCGGGGGATGATGACAGGAACACAAACGGCCTTCGCGAGAGGGACGAGGGGAAGGGCAGTGATGTTCTGTCGGAGGGGCAGATGACTGCCGCCCACCGTGAGGGTTCACCCCCTGCATTGGTGCAGGCGGCGCTGCGTGACGCGAACGGTGAGCCGCTTCTGCAGATCCCCATGGAGCGTGTCTCTGAGGCGACGGTGGCATCCGTGACGGGCCTCATCGCGCGCAGCAGCACCGTCGTGGCAGACAACGTCTCCGGGGCGTTTGTGATGGATGCCGGGACGCGTCTTTGCCTCGGCGACGGCTCCGTGGTTGGTGTCATCACGACTGTGATGGGCCCTGTGTCGTGCTGCGCGTACGCCATCGTGTGCCTCCCCGCCGTTTTTGGCGCCCTCTGCGACGGCGGAAAACTGACCGTCGGTGTGGACCTCTGCTACGACCTTGGCGAGCAAAGCGTCATTTACGACCCCGTCTCGCAGTGTGACATGCGACGTGGCACCGACGCCAGTTACGTCAACGACGAGGAGCTGCCGCCACACGCGCGGCCGGACTTCTCCGACGACGAGGCGGAGCGTCAATGGAAGATGAGTCGCCGCATGAGCGCCGATGGGGAGCCGATATCATCCGACGACGATCCCGTCGATGTGGATTGGGAAAAGATCGACGTCCTCGAGGCGTGCCTGCGGGACGAAAGAAGGGAGGGAACACCAGGCGTGGACACCGCCGCGCCGCGTCACAACCCCCGGCTGGTGGTGCCGCCATGGGTCGCCACGACGCGTGCACCCAACGGAGCCCCGTGACTGGGAACGACACGCGAAGGAAAAAAATTTTTTTTTTTTAGAACGATGCCTGCACATATCAGCACGATTAATAATAATAATAATAACAACAGAAAAAAGAGGAGGAGTGCAGTGAAAAGACAACAACAACAACAAAAAAGGTGGGTGACGACACTTTGCACAAACGCAGGGAGGAACACAGAGAGGAAAGATGCAGAAGAATAGTTTTTTTTTTTTTGGAAAAAAAAAAACAACAACAACAACAACAAGAGGAAATGGCTGCGATAATGTGGTCTCCCCTCCCTCTTTTTTTTTTTTTTTTGGGAGCTTTGAGGCACAGGCACATTGCGGCACGTCGTGTCATCTCATACGATGGCTGTTTATGGAAGGGTGTAAACGCAACCACCCGGATC